ATCACACACACACACACACAGGGAGTTCACACTCTGACCGGCTGGGCAGCCCTTTCATCCCCAGCACCCACAAAGACAGCCATCTGTCCAGTTCCAGGTGGACCTGACTCACGCCACGTCTTCCTGGAGCGGAATCAATGAGGCTTCCCGGGGCCTCCCCTCCTCCTGGGGTTTCCATGGGAATCCTCCCACGCGTGACTGAGCCAGGGGCCCCCAAGGTGGAAGCTCAGCTGTCAGCCTGGGAGGAGAAGGGGATGGATGAGGGAGGCTTGCTGGGCGGGGACCAGGCCAGCCTGCTCTGCAAGGTCATTTGAAAGAGACATAGCTCTGAGCTAGTGAAGCCCACGTGCAAGCCTGGTCACCATGCAGCTACCCCAGTACCCAGAGGGCTGCCCCAGGACAGCTGGCCTCGGTGAGGCCCAGCATGGCTCAGGCTGGGGCAAAGCATGAAAAGAGGGGCAGGAGGAAGATGCTCCTTCATGGGACCCTCTGGGGAGATTTTCTATTAGGAGAACAGGACCATCCTTACCTCTAACCTCTTATTTATCTCCCAAGATGAACTCTGCCCTTCAACTCAACTGTCTGAAATCAGAATGCTTGAAAGAAAAGCACAACTCTTCCAGCCTCAGGGTTTATGTAGGGGATCATAATAGGGATCTGCTAGTGTTTCTGAAGGTCCCTCATTAAGCCTGCATGTCTCTGGGGGACACTGGGATGCCAGCTATAGAAAGAGGGAGAAAGGGAGACCCACGGTGGGGAAGCTGCATTTGGGAGGCAGCTGCTGCAGCCCCAGGCCTCTGGGACTTGCATTTCTCCCAGAATGTGGCTAACAGGTGGTTGTGTCTGCAGAGCTAGCTGGGCCGAGCTGGAGAAGGCAGAGCTCTGGTTTATCCTAATTTCACAGCATTTCAAGCCTGGTTGGTGACGCTGGCCCTGCTCTGGCCTCTCCCTCTATACACACCAACACGTAGAGGTGCACAGCTTGGAGCAGCAGCTGTCCTGCCTGCCCATAAAGGGTGCACCCCCAAGGTCACATCTTCAGACACAGCCCCCCTTCTCTCTGTGCAGGTTCACCTAGGACTTACATCTCTAGGCCTCTGCAGAGACTCCCAAGCTGGGGCTCCTGCCGTGGCTTCCCTCAGCACCAGGCTCACCTACTAGAAGCTTCTGGTCACCCTAGATAGCATGCTCCTCGGGCCACCTTTTAAAGTCATCTGGCCTCTTTCCATCTGAAGCCCCCCGCCCCCACCATGTATACGCTCACTGTCTTAATGCTGGGGGACATCTGGGGACCCACTGGAACCTCAGAATCACAAGTCCTAGGCTGATCCATGCCCTTTCTCTTTCCCATGTCCCAAGTTCCCCTCTGCACACCCCTGCTTTTGCTGTGGATCTTCTTTTCTGGGCCTCCCTCACTCAATGACTTCAACTGTCCCTTAATCCAAACCAATCAGCACTGCCCTAGGAAGGTCTTTGCCTCCCAACCCACCATGCTGCTGAGAGGGTAAACCCTACCACCTGCCTCTTCTGCCCTCCAAGCAGCTTCTCCAAACTAAAACTCTACCCCTTAGGTTGGCACTCAAGGGTCCCTGAGACCTGCACTTGCTTATTTCTCCCATGCTCAGTCTCTCTTCAGGGCCCGCCTCAGAGCATTCAGGGCACATCTTTTCATACACTGGGCACCCTGGGCCTTCCCACCCTCCCATGCCTCACTCTCCCTGTCCCTGTGTGCAGCCCTTGGTCCCACTCCTCCACCTCACTGTGCCCTCATTCTAGCTGATGTCTCCTGGACCACGTGCTGCAAGTCTTGATGCCAGGGCAGTGCCCAGCCAGTCTATTTGTCTCCCAGACTAGCACACACCCTGCACCTGCTACATCTGGCTGTGTTAAATCCTTGCCAGTCTGAAGAAGGAATATCTGCTCCACACCTCTTGTATGGCTTGCATTTTTACCAAGAAGTTTTTTCACTATTAAAGTATGCATTTTAAGTGGGGATTAAGTTCTAAACTCAATGTGTGAAGCAAAAAAATCACATGCAATCAACACTGCCCTAGGAAGGTCTTTTGAAGGTCCAGAAAGTTCTAGATAAATGATTTGGGATGTGTCAGTCTCTTTCCCCAAGTCAGAGCCAGATAGCTGTTTCCTGCAGCCTCTGAACACATCCATATTTCTGAGCAGCAGCAGGAAAACCCAGTTAGCTTATTTAAAAAACATGTTTTATTTAAACTGTGTTGCTGAATTTTTAATTTTTTATTATTGATCTTTTTTGCCAAGTATGTTTAGTCATGTTCACATAAGTTAAGTGCACACATTATGCATTTTTTAAAAAAATGACTACCTGGGAAGACTTCTGATGACCTTGATCTAGGCCTCTCCGCCCTCAAGAATTCCCACATCGAATGGTTCATTCTAGCTGGGGTGCTGCTGCCTGAGACTCCCTGTTCCTGTACTAACAGAGAAGGGACGGACATTCCAAGAGCCTCGATTTGTGACAACAGGCCAGAGAGCTTAAAAAAAATTAACTGTGACATGGTGAGTTGTACTGGGTTCTTTCCCAAAAGAGCTAGAAACTCAGAGCTCTGGCCTGGGACCTGGCCACTGCCTGGGCTAGAAATGAAGCCCCACAAGGACAAATTTGCATGAATGATAAGAAGGTTCCAGTCCCATGAAAAGCTAGGGAGACAAGTATGCTATCAGGGAGACCAGCAGTGAATAAGCCCATGAAGTTCTGGAGTAAAACTAAGAAGGCCAGGAGGTTAGAGGGTGGCCAATGGGGACAAAGGAACACAAGGGAACCTGGAAGACCCTGGGAATGTCTAGAGTTTACTCAAGAAGTCTTTGAGGAGGTTCAAAAAGTGAGGAAGAAATTGGATATGTTTACATATTTAAAAGAATGCTTCTGAAAAATGGTTATTACTATTTGATAAACTGATACGTGGAAAAACTATAAAAGCATTAAAGCTATGAAGCTTTAGCCTGCACTTTTCTTCTTCAGTGAGGTAGGACACCCTGTCATAGGTTACAGTTGGTTTCTGTTTCGCTCTCTCTGTGTGTGAATTGTCTGTGGTCTTCAAGCCTTTGGTCATGTGCTTGTTGACTTGAAGACTTCTCCACATTCGAAGAGATGAGCCTGTTGCAATAGGAGTGGCAATTCTTTGGACTCTTTATAGTGATTTCTTTTCCTTTCAGATTTTATTTCTACATCTTTGAATTTAATCCATCCTTAAAATAAAAGAGAAGTACAAACTGGAGAGATACTTGAGTGAAATGGCTGGTAAGTTGGATTTTGTTTGCCATTCGCCCCCCCCCCCCGCCCCCCCAAGATTGCTTAAATTCATTTTATTATCATTTTAAGGAAGTTTTAAGGAGGGAATCAGAAGGTAATTGTCTCAGAGGAATGTGGCCTTCTGTAAACCATGTTCCTGACATGCTTTTGACACTTTGTTTTTCTGCAAACTCATTTTATCTGCAGCTTTCAAAAAACAATGAAGGAAAAAAAAGAATTCAGTCTTTAATCTAAAAAATAAATAAATAATAAAGGTTTGGGGGAGAGAGATTTGAGAGAAGGATTTGGGGGAGCTCCCATCAGCCGGAGGGATGGAAGCTGCAGAGTTTAGCTGGAGGATAGAGGTGCCAAGGTGGAACAGAGAAGATGAACTATCTCTAATGCTATGATCTCTTCCCACGGGGCTGGGGTGGGCAAATTCTGAATCATTTTAATAGCCTTCCCCTGAGTCATTTCACATTTTCCAGATTTAGGCTCATCAAATTGGGGGGGGGGGGGGACAGAAAGTGAGTAGGTGGATAGGGGGCTCAGATTCCTAAGGAGAGGGGAATGCCTATCTTCACCCCCAAATCCCAGAAGAGGGCAGAGTGCCAAAGAGCTGGGAGAGGTTAGATAACTTGTTCAAGGTCACACTGCAGGCTGGTGGTGGAGGCAGAATTTGAACGCAAGCCCAGCTCCAGAACCCTGAGTTTCCCATCTCCTCAAGACAGAGGTACCAAAGTGTCCTCTTCTCCCTTCCTGTCGGCAGTAGCCCGCGCTTGTCCATGGGGCAGCGGGAGCAGCCACTCCTCCAGCTTCTCCAGCCAGTCAGAGGTCTGGGGCTGGGTGTCCTCTCCTGGCGCGTCCAGCGCGACCAGGGCGGACACATTTGCCGCGCTCTCGAGGCTCTGGCCTCCTCTCCCCTTCCCGGAGCCCCCATCCCCTCCCTTCCTAAGCAAAGCCAAGTTTGTATCCAAGCAAGGCCGGGAACTGGCCCCAAGTAGCTCTCCGGCTAGGCGATCAGCCTCCATGTCCCAGGGTCAGGAATAAACCGTGACAACAGCCACCACTTCACCAGTGCCTACTCGGTGCCAGGCGCTTTACTTTCACTGCTCCGAATCCTCCGGACTAACATATTTCTCCTCTCAGCCCGCCCAGGAAGTGTTGTCCCCATTACACAGACTAGAGAGCAGCTCTGGAAAGTTGGATGACATGCATGGACTCGCACAACTAATACTAATGCAAGCTAACGTATGATTGAGAGCTTCCCCTGTGTCGGAACCGGTTTCCAAACCATCCCTCAGATCCTCCAGTACCCTTCGAAAACTGGCACAATTCTCATCCCCATCTTATGGATGAGAAAAGCGAGGTCTGACGCCTTGCCCAAGGTCACCCAGCCAGTGAATGACGGACATCGGACCCATACCCATGTAGGGTAATTCTGGAGGGTGTGTGTGTGTGTGTGTGTGTGTGTGTGTGTGTGTGTGTTGTCTCCAGTACACCGAGAAGCAGCGGACTTGGAACCCACCGCTCTAGGAGGGCCCCCAACGTTCCAGGGCTGCGCGCATACCAACCGCCTTGGACTGCCACAATCCGCAGAAAGAAATTCCCGGGGACAGGAGCAAGACCGACATCTAGATCGCTGACTGTGATGAGTGCCGGCCCACATGAAGAGCTGCTGGATTTCAGCTCCCGACCCCCGCGCGCCCCTCACCAGGGGATGGAAAATACTCACCATAAAAGAGAGGGCGAGCGCCTGCCCCGGAGGAATCCCCAGCGCTGGCAGGTCCCGGAATCCCGGGAGAGAAGTCTGCTGCTGCCGCTGCCGCCCACTCAGGGGCGCCCGAGTGACCCCGCAGATGGTGGCTTCCTCCCCAGAGCCAGCGGCGCGTCCTCGCGACTGGTGCCCGGCAGCAGCGCCCTCTCTGCCCGGCAGGGTGGCCTGGAGTTGGGAGCGTTCTTGGCGAAGTTGGCGCTCAGACGCGGCGAGAGGGCACCGGAGGTCCGGCCCAGAGTGGGGAGGCGCCTTTACTGCGCCGACCCTAGGTGCGCGCGGAGGCCCGCGCTCTAGCCGCTCCGAAGCTTGGCGCCTGACCTGGAGGGCGGCGAGTCCCGCGCTCAGGGCGCACGGGCCGCACCTCGGCAGCCGGCCACCGGCGCGCCCAGCGTCTTCCCCAGATTCGTGGGCGCACGCGGCGCTGGTTGCAGCGGTGGCTCGGGCCCGGGCTGTGGTGCGCTCATCGCCTTCCCCAGGGGCTGGGCGCCTTTGTGCGCGGGGCGCGCCGGCCGCCGCGGCCAGCCCTGGATGCTGCAGCCGCCGCCGCCGCCTCCCCCTCCTCCTCCGCCGCCGCCCGCTCCCCGCCTTCCCGGCCGGCCCGGAGGCTGCAGCTGAAAGCCGATCCGGCTGAGCTCATCCCTGAAGGCCACTAATCCAATAGCCGCGGAAGGCGCGGCCGCCGGGAACGCCCCTTCCCCCACCATCCCGCGCCCCGGCCGTCCCAGCTCGAGCCGCTGCCGGCGCCGCCACCTTCTCGAGGCCACCAGCTGGCGGGAGAAGGAAGTGGAACCCGCGCCCGCTCCCCTGTGCCGAAGCGGCGCGGTCGCCATTCACTCACCCGCCCGCTTGCCCGCGCACTCCCTCACTCACGCACTCATTCATGCGCGCGGTCCTCCCCCATTCATTCAAGCGCGCCTGGAGCGCCGGGGTGGGTGCCCTGAGAGGGAGGAGATACCCAGTCACTAGACAGCTTCTGTGCCTTTACTCAATGCACGTGGGAAACAGCTGCCGGGGAAAGAGAATTATTTAATAAGCCCCTTCCGTAGACACACACATGTCCACACTTTATTTCCGAGACCAGGCTCCAACTCATCTTTTAAAGTCCAATTTCATCCCGCACCTGCTTCACGGCGCCTTCCGAGCCCATCCGAGGCGCTGGGAGATGGATCTCTGCTCAGCTGGCTACCAGCGCAGATGGTGGGCGGCTTCATTTCGAGCTTGAGCTCAAAGATAAGGCAGAGGGCGTGGCCAGAGCAAAGGACCCACACTGATTCTGGTATCTTTGCTTCCTTGGGCAAATTGAAAGCTCCTGGCCTTGGCGCCCTGCCTGTGATCCCAGAATTGACGTCAGGTCCATTCCACAGTCATTTGCTGACCCCAACCCTCTCCGTGCCAAACACCTGGCAGAGGGCCTAGATTGGAGAGGGCTGATTTTATCAGCGACCTGGAAGAGGAGTATAGACAGTCCTACCCCGTGAAGGCAATGTTTTCATGGGAGCTCTGGTGTTCCTTTCCTAAACTGGGAAGGGCAATCTGTGAATGCTTCCTATTGGAGACGGCTACACGAATTAGCCACTGGAAGTAAGGGGACAGCATAGTCGCCTGGACAGATACTTAGCACAGCCCAGAGCCTATAGATGACGATGCTTGAGTAGGTGGTAAGATGAACTGGAAGGATGCTTAGGGTTTTGCAAAGGGTTTGTTCTTTCCCCAAGATCAGTTAGGCAAGACTTTTGACCTTGCCTTCCAGAAAAAAATCTCTCAGCAGTAGAGGAGATGGGTGGATGGCAGAAATCAGCTTGGAAGCTACTGCAGGAGTGTGAGGAATGGATGGTGCTTCCTGAACCGAGTCAGCCTGGCAGAGTGGCAAACAGGGTGTGTTGATAAAGTAGTTATCGTACTTATTCTGCTTCATCATTGTCGGTTTGCATGACTGTCTCCCTCCTGAAACTGTGGTCCCCCTGCTGGGCAAGCATCTGTATCCGATATGTCTCTGGATGCTCTGTGCCCTCACAGAAGAGCTGCTAAGGGAATGATTTGAAAGGATCCAGGTAGCAGTGCACATTGATATCTTCCCTGGGTCTCCTACCTGGAAGCTCCTGAGGCACCTGTTCTCCTGGCCACTGTCGGGTATGGTCATGGCTGGGCAGAAAGAAAAGAAAATTTAAGGAAAGATCAGAAGCAACAAGACTTTTGAGCTGATGGTTTCTCTGCCTGGATCTTACTGCAATCTGGCAGATGGGGAGGGGGATGGTCTTTATTTCCCCTCCTTGCTGGGGAACATCACAGCAGCTTCTAGAACAAGGCAGGGAAAGGGCAGTGGCCACGATTTGAGAAATTACCTCCCCTGGGGCCTCCAGATGGGTTCAGTATGCTGGCCTTTTCAAATGAGACTATGCCTAGGGCATAAAAGAGTGGCTCCACAGCACCCTCAAGTCTCCTGAAGGCCCCCAAGTCTTCCATCCCCTGAATAGCAAGGAGCCCGGCCTGCTATTCAGGGACCAGAGGGTGCTTAGTACTTAGATTCTGTTCCTCTCCCCAGCTTGGGCACCACCATCCCTATTGTCAGGGCTGTCTTCATAAAAGAAAAACCACCCCTGCCACTCCCTTCACTCTTGGCATTTCAACTCCCTGCATCTGGGCTCTGGGACAGGCCACACTGGGACCCCAGAGCCCCTCTGTGACCACACTGCCTCTCTCCGACATGAGCCTTTGCACCTGCTGACCTTGCCCCCCGTATAGACTCCCAGGAAACCCCAATGCACCTTTCAGCTCCCCACTTGTGCACATGTCACCCCCTCCAGGAAGTCTTCCTGTCACGCCAGGTTTGACATGGTGCCCTCCAGAGTGCATCCTCAGCCCTTTTTTTCTCATGGTCCCAACCTCATGGTCGCTGTTGTCTCTTTTCTTGCCCCCATTCCAAGACAAGGGCAAAGCTGTCTTTTCCAGCTTTAGAGACTTTGTAAACCACGTATATATTTCCTCTTGCTAAGAGCTCAAAGCACAAAAATATGCATTCTTCCCTAGCCGGAGCTGGTGTGGAGGCTCTTTCTCTAAGCTGTAGAGCACCATGTCACCTGACCTCTGTCAGAGCAAATACTTAGGGAATCACCAGATTCCTGTGTTAGACGGTAACTCTTTTTAAACAGTTTAATTGCATGTATTTATGGGGCACAGTATGATAATTCAATAAAGGTGCCTCTGTAGGACAAGATCATGTCTGATTCATCCCAATGCCAATACAGGTTTGTGGGGTGAATGACTAAAGACAAAGTAGAAGAAAGGAAAGACAGGTTAGGCAGGTAGGCAAGCATGGAGACTCCACGGCCTCTTTTTCCTTCCTTCTTTCATTGAAGACATTGAGTAGTCAGAATCGGGTCAAACATAAATCATTAGTTCTTGACACACTGTCAATATTACCCATGTGTGGCCCTTAATTTGCTTATTTATGACATGATGAACACCTGTGCATCCAACCCAAGAACTGGAACATTCCCAACACCATGTGCTCCTTTTCTGGCCTCAATTAGTAAAAAAACAGAAGAAGAAGAAAAAAGAAACAAATCACTATTCGAATTGTTATGGCTTATTATTTCCTTGTGTTATTTTTTTCTATATGTGTGTGTGTTTGTCTCCTAAAAATTTATTTTATTTAGTTTTAGTTGTTTTTTGAAATTTACAAATAAAACATTAACTGGATATTGTTTCTAGGGACCCAATAGGACTATTTGGACTCAATAGGACTTATGCTTTAAGGATGGTAACTGTAGCTCATTCATCTTCATGGCTCTATAACAGTTCAGTGCATGAAGATACACAACTTATTTTCCCAGTTTCTTCCATAGCCTTGTGAATTAGCTCTCTTTTGGGGCTTCTAGGACTTAGGACCTAGAAATGTAATGAGAAACAGCGCCTCCACTGGCCCACCCAGGTACATCAATGCTAATGCTTGGAGTGGAATAGTTGTGAGTCTGGGTGTCCTCATCGCAGTTAGTCTGGGTCAACTCATCAAAATGAAGTGTTCCAATCCAGCTAAAGAAGAGCTGTATGTAATTGCATCATTACATACAAAGTAATCACATCATTCACTGGGGAACCCAGGGATCCCTGACTCAATGTATTCCCTCAGAATCACTTGTATACAAAAAGGAGACTGGAATATTGTCAGGGCTGCAGATTACCCAACCATTTCATCCCCTGTTCCATTGTCCTTTTCCTTTTAGATAATTAGTGAGGCCTGGTGGTCTCAACACCATAGGAAGAATCTGGAAAACACCCGAGAGCCTGCAATGAAACAGACATTTTACCTTATGCGTATATACGACCGCATGACCAATGTGATTCTACAACCTGTGCCATCAGAAAAATGATGTCACACCCCATCTATGTATGATATATCAAAGTGCATAAATGCATTCTATTGTCATGTATAACGAATTAAAAAAAATTTAAAAAGAAAGAAAAAGATAGGTGAGTTCAGTGACAGAGGCACCCAAATTCATCAGTAAGCATTGCACTTGGTGTAGGACAGGATATTAGGGACACACACACACACACACACTCACACACTCACATGCACATAGACAAAGGCCTGGAGGTTGTGTTACAAAATGCCTTGGCACACTGGGACAAGGTGGTGGGGTGTGTGTGGCAGATCATGGTAGGGCGGCACATGTCACAGGACTTTTAGCTCTTTAATTTCTATCATCTTCATTTTTCTCTTGTATAAATCCAGATGATATAACGACTGCATAAAGTTGTAAAGATGAAAGGAGACGACGTATCCAATGGTTTAGCCAACGTTTCTTCAAGCCGTGATCTTGCATAAGTTGCCAGACATCTAGGAGGTTCAGATTCCAGTCCCTAACATGGAACGAATGGAACCTTCCTCTGTGTCATTTGTCACTTTGGGATGTGGAGCAGCTGAACGACTCATGAACCTGGCAGGAAGCAGAGTCACTTCCTGTGAATGCACCTAAAGCCCAGCACTCAGCCACGCCTCCCCCAAATCTCTTGAAAACCCTCTTCACAATTTGTTTTTGGTGAAAGCGGACAAAGGAATCCCCCTCATTTCTTTTTTTTTTATTGGTTGTTCAAAACATTACAAAGCTCATGACATATCATCTTTCATACATTTGATTCAAGTGGGTTATGAACTCCCATTTTTACCCCAAATACAAATTGCAGAATCACATCGGTTACACATCCACATTTTTACATAATGCCATACTAGTGACAGTTGTATTCTGCTACCTTTCCTATCCCCTACTATCCCCCCCTCCCCTCCCCTCCCCTCTTCCCTCTCTACCCCATCTACTGTTGTTCAATTCTCTCCCTTGTTTCCCCCCCCTTTCCCCTCACAACCTCTTATATGTAATTTTGTTTAACAATGAGGGTCTCCTTCCATTTCCATACAATTTCCCTAAGCTAGCCAATCCTTAAAAAACAAATGCCAAATGTCTTCTTTGATATAAGGAGAGCAACTAAGAACAGAGCAGGGAGGAAGAGCATGAGGAAAAGATTAGCATTAAACAGAGACGAGTGGTGGGAGGGAAAGGGAGAGAGAAGGAAAATTGTATGGAATCCCCCTCATTTCCCAGGCTCCCTTGCCCCCGGCTGCAGGT